CCTCCATTGGAGGGAGTGTGGGCTCGGCCCCGCTGAGCCGAACTGCCCGCCGGCCCATCGGACCTTCAGCAGCGTATAGCATCCTGGCTGAACTTTTAGAATTCACTGATTTAGAGAGGGCAGGCAATGGTAACTGAGAAGGTCATTGAGAAGGTCTTCTGTTCTTCTAGGACATATATTTTTTAACATTTGGGTTGAACACTAAGCACCAAGCGGCAGAGCCACTTGAAGCCCCAAGCTCCAATGTTCAGAAATTTGCAGTTCCGAAGGAAATGCCTTTCAACTCCTGATCTCGGAATAGAGCAAAAGCCAAAAAGTCGCCCTCCCTTCTAAACCAAAAGAGCCCAAGCAACCGCTTCGATTCCTGCTTACAACCCTTAACCAACCTTCTAAGCCCCGAGTCACACCGGCCCTGCAATCATTCCGGTGCCAAAACTTTGCCGATTGGCCTCGATGGATGGGCTCCCTGGTGGTCTCATCCGTTCTGTCTGCTTCGTATTACCTGCTGGGTCGAATTAATGGTGATCTTTAAATGAGAAGGGACAGAGAAATGTGCGGCTGGAGATGGAGCGCATGGAGAACAAACCGATGTGATCTACAGCGGATCTAAGAACTGTAATGAAGTGGCTTGTTGGTGACAATGCCAAAGAAATGATAACTAAGTGTGAAATGGGGTTCAAAGGTAAAAGTAATTTAAGTTTGTTTTAAAAGAATTGTTCAAGTTTAAAGTAAACCTGCAGTAGAGGTAACGTTCAAGGAGAAATGGGAAATGAGCGTGCAACGGTAGAAGGGCTGTTGGTGCATGAGGTAATGCTTACGCAACAATCATGGTAGATTAGCCAAGTACAGGGCCCGTAGCAAAGTAGTGAATCAAACCATACTTTACAAAATTTGGTCATTTAAATCAAAGATCCGCTTTGTTTTCATTGCTGAGAAGATAAGCTTCAAATCTGTACCTGCACGTCAATTTCACAGTCAAGCTTTTCATACTCAGAAAAATCTGCTAACAGTTCCACAAACCTTAAAGCATCTTTCTCATCAATTCCTAGCTTGCTTACTTACTTTAGTAAGTCTGCTTCAGCTAGCCGAGCCCGGCTCAAGCCAGCCAAACCTATCGAAATCGTCGGCTTATCTTCCTTCCCGAATCGTCATCTACATGCCCCACCTGCTCAAAAAATGCTTGGGCTAGCCCGACGCCCAAACAATTTGCACTGAGCTCCTAGAGCAGACGATGAGCTCACCGGAGCAACTTGTGCCGGGCGACTGGCACTATGCCACCCTCCACAAGCTCTGGACCTCTGCCCACGACTATTGTACAAGTCACTGGACCGTACACCGCACTGCTCGTGTGCTCCGTGAAAATCGCTGAAAGAGAGAACAGGCGATCCATTTTCCGGTTGTGATTCTCCAATCTGTGAACAAAACGGGGACTTCGGTGGAAAGTTGACAAAGCAGCTTGGAAATGTTGAATCATCTAAAAGTTTTTGCGTTTTTCTCCTCATAAGATCAGGTTTTCTTGTCATCACTTTACTCCCATTATGGATTTGAGTAGGTTTACCTGCTGTTTATTAAAAGAAAATTGACTTCTGGGAGGGGACAGATACGATGGGGTAGGGGTGGGTGAATCAGAGCCATCACAGGGTGGCGGAACCGTGCGATGCCTTCGCACCTTTCAATTTCTTTCCAGGCAGACCACAATTAGGTTGGAAATTCTGGATTTTCCTTGAAGGGTGAAGGGCATCACGCCAGCTCAAGAGAAATTCACCTAGAAAACTGCCCCGATATTCTGACTGATTCCTCAGAGGTGTCCTCACATTGAGATAATATTCATCCTTTTTTTCCGCCTTGCTCGCCTAGCCCTTGGTCTATAAATGGTTGCGAGAAGTATAGGAGAGGGATAGCTAGTTGAGAAATTGGCATTTATTTACTTATGCGGAACATGCAAAATAAAAATCTTGAACATTTAGAAAAGCTCGAGATTATGCGATGGGTCACAATTTTGTCGGTACTGTTCTGCTCCGCCTTATGCCGACCTTCGCAACATTCTGTAAGTCAGCATTCATTCATAGTTATCACATGTAGAATCTATAAAATCTTTAAAAGGCAAAATGATAAATAACCAATGAATTCTGCTCTAGTTCTGTAATTCTGAGAAAAAAATGGCTGTCAGAGGACTGCCTATCAGAAAAGCCTAACTGGATTTCTGGTCGAAATCGTTACGAAAACAAACTTGGGCACAAAGACGTGGGTCCACCGGAGTTAGATCAGCGGTGAAATATTCGGCTCGGAATAGGAGCTCCTACCACGGTTACATCGACGCGATCACTTCCGTCGAACTTTTCAGCGCTTAATGCTAGGCGTCATCCAACCTCTCTGTCGGCCAGACTAGGACGTGGATCAAGTTGAACCCTTGGTTGCTTGTTTCAAATGGATCAGAATTGTCTCATAGGCTGCTTTCATAGTCCGCCGGCGTGCCGGCNGACCTTTGAAAATGTTCCCCCGCTGTTGCAACTTTTTTGAAAGAACGATTTTGACTGTTGAATACTTCAAAATCCATCTGAATCTTTTGCCGTCATAACTGTACCCATTCAGAGCATATTCGAGCGTATTACACGAGGAAATGAGGAGGAACTTCAAAAATTGCACAAACTTTCGATTCGTAAGCACAGCAATGAAACTCAGCCTGTGAGTGACTGTTCTACTAAACGGTGGTCATTTGAAAAATGGTCTTTTTAAGCCAGTATCTCGACGGCCATTCGTTGCAGAGCCAAGTGGACGGAACTTCAAAAAATTGAATCACAAGTTCAAGTAAGGCATTTTTCATTACCGTATCTGTTTTTATTCACCTGTGCGTGTTCCTGGTCCGATAAGTTTGAATCGAAACCGACAGAATCCCTGTAATCTTAGCTTTACCGGCATTCAGCGACGAAATAATCAGTTTGCAGGAAATTTCTGTTCGACGGCGATATCATCATCAGCCATTCCCTTCTACGTGAAATTGTGAAGGAATCCGAGCAGGAGTACGAGCGTTCCCGAATACGGCGATGGGCATATCGTGACTTCTTCTACCCGGAAACAATATGGCAAACTGGTGTTCCTTACGAGTTTGATGAGGATCTTCGTGAGTTTCTGGTTGAATGGGTCTAGAATGGCTGCCATGCTGTGCAACTAAGGGGTTTCGACTACGGGTTAAAAAGGAATAAGGTACTAAAGCCATTTCCATAGGGTCATTAATGGAAATGGGCTAGTTACCTGCCTGAGCAGTTGAATTACGTGCTTCTTTTTCTACTATTCCACCTTCATGGTAGGTAAATGTGCATCAAGGGATTTTCTTCCTTTTCCCTTTCCTGCACCTGATCCTACACATAAAGCTGTCACTGGTCCCTCTTCGTTCGGTTTCGGAAATCCTGGGTATGGAACTGCAACCCTCCATTTTTGGCTGAATGCAGTTCTCTGGTATCAAAAAAGTGACTAGGGAGTTGAATTACTAATTCTAACCATATGATTACTTTGTTGTAGCTGATGTAGCAATAGCAAGTCTCCTGGAAGCGATGGAGTTCTGGCAGAGTAACACCTGTGTGACGTTTCGACCTCGAACCAATGAAACTCAATACATCCTCTTTACTGGTGAACCTTCCTTTTTTAGGATCTCTTTTCTCAGGGAACTGGTGAATTGTACAATTGCAGGCGCTTTGGACATGTGTTCGTCCACGGTAGGAAGGGATTTGAGACAAGGACAACAACTTGTTTACATAGGATCAGGATGTTATGCGGTATAATTTGAACTCTTGACCGAAAGGGAGGTAGGAGCTCAACATTGATCTCTGGATGATTATCAGGGGCCAACAAGTGAACGACAGAGCCCCCCATCTCCCAAACAAACTGAAAGTCTGTCTTGAAAAAGTATGTCTACAGCGGTCTGGGAGCGTGTTCGAGCCACAGAAGGGTATTGAGGCCATCCAAGTTCCTGATCTTTCTCCGACCATAGGGAGTAACAGGACATGAAAAGGAGCGAGATCGGGCATCTTCTCTGGGGGTGTTCCGATTCCTACGTATTGACCGGAACTCCTTGACGTTGCATTGACTGGGAAGAAAAGGGAAAGTAAGCGAGGGAAGAAAGGAAACACTAAATGTGAAGGGATTCTGTGAAAAATTTGGTAATTATCAAAGATGATTTCAGTTTGGAGTGACCACCCATGAAATCGGTCATGTCCTGGGTTTATTCCATCATCAGCAGCGTTACGATAGAAATGAGTATGTAGCATTTGTGCAAGCCAATGTGCCTGAGTCGGATTGGGGAGATTTTGAGACGGTAGGTATCTCATAAGAAAGAAATCAGTTGGGGTTTTCTATAATGGGAAAGTACATTACTCTCAAGTATTGCGGTTATTCAGATATCTTCGACTTTTCTGGACACCTATGGTCTTCCTTATGATGTTGGAAGTGTGATGCATTACGCTCCGACAGAGTAGTTATTGCTTGTATTTTTTAAAAAATGTAAAATATTCAGATATAGAAAAAAGTGAAACAAATGATTTTCGAATTAGTCAGCAACAGCGCCACTCGGTTTTCTACTCGGGGTCCATTAAAGCAATCGTAGAACTGTAGTTGACCTGCACCTTATGGGTGGTCTTCGTCCATCCTTATCAAATGTTATCACATTCTGTCACCCCGATCACCTCGAACCGTAATCACTGAAGCGAGGAGTGGGTGAGGAATCTGGTCAACTCCATTATTTACCGGAAATGCCCTTTATCCTTTTCAAATTGTGGACCTATAGCGCAGCACCTGCAAGGTGCCCATCATGTAGCCTCTCTTTCCGCGATTCCGAATAAAGTTTGAGTGCGTGGCGTAATCCAAGTATCCACCTTCTGTGTCTCGGCCACCTATTTCGGTTAATCAAAAATGTGAATGAGGGCCATATCTGGTACCAGTCATTGAAGGTTTGCACGGAATGCTGCTTTCCCTTCTCTACTAGCCCTGAACGAAGAGCTTCAAGGGACTATGGGTAATATGGAGGGACCATCTTTCCTGGACGTGGAAATCATCAACAGACATTACCAGTGTTCTGGTGAGTGAGGCGAATATTAAATTGGAGTTCATGGTTTTCTCTCCACCTTTTCAGCAATTTGTAATCGTTCCAATGTTGAGGCGCCGAGATGTCTGAATGGAGGTTATACGGATCCACTGAACTGTACTATATGCAAGTAAGTTCAGGTGCGCTGACTGGCGGTATCAGCTGACTACTTACAGGGTCCATCTCAGCGTCTCCTCTAATGAAACCCTTTTCAGATGTCCTTCCGGCTTTGGTGGCAATCTCTGCCAGGACATTGCCTCTTCGGCCCCACTGAATTGCGGCCGAGTACTTTCGGCTACTTCGAGATTGACACGGCTCAGAGTACGAATGATCATCGGACCTGTCAGACGGCAATGTGTCTACCACATTCGAGTACTGACTGGTACTACTCTTTTGAAAATTGTTGATCTTATCTTATTAAATGGTAAAATGTGAGCCATCGAGGTGTACGTGATGCCTAAGAGTCACCGTTTCCGTTGCTCGATCACAGGATCAACGAATTTGCTAAATGGGTGAGGGTAGAAGAGATGATGTGGGCAACAATTAGCGTGGGGCGATTGTCAACCTTTCTAAGAAACTATTCCCTCGCCATCGGTATAGAGGGAGCTTCCGAATGGAAACCTGATTTTGTCAGACTCTTCTCTTCAAAGGGTGGAATTGATTTGAGTCGACAAACCCTTTTGGGAATACAGCCGCTTCTTTGACTCCCGTTCACTAACCTTGTGGTAATCGAATGGGTGTCTGGCCTATACAATGATTCCAGGGGATACTCATGTCGGTGTTTATCCCGATACAAATTAGTCAAATTCACAAGGGTATAGAGTTTCGTCGGCTAGGCTACCGTTAAATTCTGTTCTCAGAACATGCTTCAGGTAGTGGTGCCTTTGGTCCTACCCCACCACTAGGGAAGACTGCCAGAGCGGTTCAACTGTTTCTCGGGGATAAAATCCTATTTTCAGGCACCACCGAATCGTAGGATCATGATCGGAATCCAAAACGTCGAAGGAAAATGTCAGGAGGGATGCTACACAAGGGCTGTGGAGGTGAAAATGAACGGCGACTTTCGTCCAGTAGGTTACAGGTAGTCCACTGTCTAGCCTGACGACAGAAAGATACGCAGAAAAATCGTCTTCATGAAAGGCTGGCCAGTATAGGTGGCAGTTACAGGTACTGTTGCCAATCACAATCATTTCGTCGATTGATCTCAAAAGGACGGAATGTTCCGGTCATTTTCTTCGCACAAAATGGAACCCTCGATGTAACACTGTACTTCAGATGGGGTAGCCTAACCCGTTTTTTTTGTTCGGGATCCAATCGAGATGGACCTTTTCCAGTTGTTCTAACACCTGATGCAGAAGATGCCACTTATCTGAATGCAACAGAACTTATGGAAGTTTACAAACTAACGGATAGTTACGGTAGATCCCTCCAGTCTCCCTTCCGATATAGGCTTCAAATAAAAACCTATTTGCAGGTATGGATATGGAGATATTAAAGTTACCAGAAGGCAGTGGTATGGGAACTCCGGGTGGAACGTTAGGAGACAATGTTTTCGATGGAGAGACAAACGACGGTCGATTTCAAAGGCAGACGGTATCCTACCAGTTACATTAACCTTATCGGCCTAATTTCGAATGAATTTCAGGGACGAAGCGAAGACGGTGAAGGACAATGATTGGTTGAGGCAGCTAGAAGGAGTTAGGATTCCCCTGTGCAATCATGAACTTTGTTCACTTGAAGTGCTGTTTT